AATATCTTTATATAAATAATGTACATCATAACTCATCTGAATGAAGATGAAACATGGCAGATTAACAAAGGAAGACAGAAGAGAGAAGAAAGGAGTCTGTTGGGGAAGCTAGACATTTCTTCCAAGCATTTCCTTTCTGATACATGTCAATTTCGCTGTGAACAGGAACCATGGTAAAGGCCGTTTGTTTCCTCGTGATGAAATTCAGTCTTACGAGTCATTCTGTGCAACCTAAATGGAATGTTGCCAACTTAACCTTCCTTGAAGTCTTCCTACATCTAACAGACAACTACCTTTAAAGAATAATGGCTAATTGGGGTTGCCCATCCCTAAAATCATCCTAAAATGCAATAGGTAAATGTGCTAGTGGACAAAGGCTCATTTTTCCTGTTTCTTTAGGTTTAACCTTACACAGGTGTATCATTTGCTGAGCATCTAATCCACTATGGAAGCTGCACAGTGCACCTGGGATGCTGGTGCAGATGTGGGGACTATATTTTTTGTCTTTTCCTCCCCTCACCGGAATCTGTCAGACAGCCAATACTTTCTTACAGAACTGAGCAGGCCCTGAGAACTTGATTCTTTGGCTAGCAGGAGAAAAACCCTAACACGTTCTCTTCAACAGTCAGCTATTATCCTTTTACCCAACTTTTGATAATACTTTTAAAGTAATGTTTGCAATAGATTATCATTTATTAGGATGAAATAAAAGATGAGCTATGAGGATCGACTTTCAGTTTCATATTTACAAGTTCATTCAGTTAGAAGATGCAAGCAATGAGAACAAAGGTATGACCCATGGCAAATGGTGGGGAAGGGACAGGACGCAGCAGTGACCCTGTGCCAGAGCAAGCACCAAGGAAGATGGAACTGAAAATAACCAGCTGAGGAGTTCATGAATACACCTGTGGCCCTTAGGAGACAAAAACATCTCGTCTTGTAGGAGCACTCTGGATGAGAAAGGATGTGTGCTGTGGTGCAGACTGGGAGTCTGACTGTGGAAACAGGCGTGGCGAAGCTTCGAGAAGACAGGTGCCCTCTGGGTGCTCAGTATCCCTGAGTTATTTTTAGAGTATGTCTGCTTACAGCCAGTAGTTACTACTAGAATGTACACGATAGTGATCCCCACTCGCTCCTTCAGATGGCCTGGGGAAGAGGAATGACGGAATAATCCAGAGTGATTCACAAACAGTGAATCGTGACTATCAATGTGCCTTGTGTCTAGGAGATGATGTGGGGGTCAAGGGAGACTAAGGAAAAGAATGGAGAAGGACAAGTGGCTCTTCCGTTAGCCACAGAGAAAGGGCTACAACTGATCCAGGAACAAATCTTGTCTTAAACTGGAGGGAACCACATACATACCAATAGCAAGAGTCTCCCAGGCAATTTCTAAGAGCAGGGAAACTGCTAACACATAGCCTAGGTTTAGACAGAATCAAAAACACCCCCTTCAGGAACTATGGGCCCCTTAGAGGAAGTCAACTCTCTGCTCCCTCTCACAGAGGGCAAGCCTCCCAAGGAGAAGCCCTGGCACCTGCGCAGGCAACAGAACCGCCAGGTCTGGCACCCCCTCTAGACCAGGAGAAAGGTGCTGAGGAGCAGGCCCTCAGAACTTGATTTTTCAGCCAGCAGGAGAAAAACCCCAACACATTCTCTTCAACAGTCAGCTATTATCCTTTTACCCAGACTGGAATATGCAGTCCTGTATATTTTCATCTTTGGAACAGGTGGCTTGATATGCAAATAAAGTAATAAGTGTCAGAGCTGTATCCTAGCAGTAGCTACTTTGCAAATGTTACCATGGCACCCATTCAACAGTGTTCTTAGAGGTAGCCACACCTCAGCAAGGTCTTTCTAACTTGGAACAGCAAAGTTCAAATGAACGAATAGACACAAACTGTGAAAGAGTCCTGAACCCATTACAAGGTGATTCTTTACAGCACAATTGCCCTCTGAAGCTACTTGAAACAGGGCATGGGACTTAAAGGAGAAAAAGAAGGAAATGGACCATCTCTTCTAACACCTGGAATGTGATCCAAGCCTGGAGACAAATTGAGGGTAATTATAACTGCTAACATTTGTTTTTAGCTGCTAACAGATTGTGCACAGATTGTGAAGGGCAAACTCCATTCTCCAATTACTCCAGTGCAAACTGTGCTTTAACAGTACTCACTAAATCCTAGTTGAGTGAAATGAGAGCAGCTTGTCCTTGTGGTGTGGTTCATTTATGTTAAACTATGGAAAACTGGGACTGTCCCCCTACAGTCCCAGTCCAGGGGTCACTCACAGCCAGATGCAGAGAGCCCTACAGCACACTGGGCTCTACACATCTCTGTTCTTACTGCCAGCAAACCTGCTCTACAGGGTATAACATGTATTTCCCAAGCACAGACAAAGCAAAAGGAAAAGGGCTAGACATCAGCTGCTGGGGAAACAAGTCTTAAGCAACCTGGCTTGTGAGCCAATCAAGGTTGCTGAGGTAGGTCCTAAGCCAAAACAGGGTACATTTCCACCTGGTTAGGGGAGAATAAAATAACCGATACGGAAAGTTAACAAGATAATCTGTGATCGGTAACAAATTGATACAATAAACCATGAATTCTATGAGAGTTCAAAGAGGGCAACAGTTCTTTCCTGCTTCCTCTTCAAATGAGGGTGATCAAAGAAGAAGCCCAGAAAGACGATGAAAAAGTGGAAACTTCACCAATAGGGAACTAGAGTTTGTTGACACTGAAAAGCCATCAGCAAGAATGAGACTACAGAGCTCCCTCCACTATGTGTCAAAGCCACAGTTCTCTCCATGTCCTTAAAGACAGTAATGATGTATCATTTCTGGCTGAAACAGTCACAGAAGACAGGGGTGCAAAGGAAGGAGCGCTTAGAAAAGCAATAGGGAGTTTCCATTTTGCTACCTTTATTTAAAAACACACAAAGGGTAATTTTGTTTCCCAAAAGGGTAATTATGGGACCATTATATATAGTTAACTCCACATACGCATCACCTTAAGAAATAGTAATAAAGACAGAAAAGTGCCTCTTGGTTCTGTTTCCATAACATTTAGCCAAATCAATTTGTAAATTGTCTGTGGGTGAGTTGAAATTGTAATTTGAGCAGTAACCTGGATGTCCGACATACCACCCAGGGGTCGACCACATCAAGGGCACAATATTAAAAAGCATGAGAATTTGGGCTTGGTTGTGGCAAGTTCTGATGGAGAGATCCATCCAGCCTGATGAAGGCTAAGCGAGGAGGAGGTCAAGGGAGGAAACAATGCTCGGGAGCAAGCAAGAAATGGTATCAGGTTCCAAGAGATGGTCCACTGCCAAGGGTTAAATCCAGCTCTCTGGAAGGAAAGCTATGACAAGGTCTAAGAAGCCTCAGGGCAGGAATTCAGTTACATCAAGAAAGCATAGTACTAAGGAAAAAACAAAGCTCATGTCCAATCCTATGGATTAAGATGACACAGCAGAGGCTAGGAGAAATCTAGAATCTGGTGGG